AATAAATCTGAGACTATACATGATGTAAATTCAAAATAATGTGATAATATTTACATTATGTGGGGTCTACATTATTTTGGGTTGCTTTGCGATGTTATACCAAGACTCGTGAAAATAAAATAGTGTTCTTCTGCGAACTAATATAGACGATTTTTCCAATCTTCTGGTACCACTCGATTTTATTATTTGAACTTGGCGGCAAGTAACCTTTAGTTTCCCAGTCTATTGCGTCCATTCATAGTCTTAACAATAGGGTGTAAATTGCCATGCGAGCCTACCGCACATGACCGCGGTAAACCGGGGTCATGGAATCTATGCATAAATTTGCATAAAATGCGGTCGACCGGCGAGCACCCACCACCACTGCGGTAAACCGCGAGTTTGATTTCCTACTCTTCCCTAACTGTATGTTCATCAGTACACTTTTGTAATACACCTGTAGTGAATTTCGATAAAATGGTTAAAGAATTTCAGAGGCAACATATGCACAGATTTAAAACAAAATTGAAAATTTATGCAGGGGTTTGGTCATTTACCTAATGACTTGTTATAATGTGATTTTTGTCTTATTTTGTTATCTTAGTAACCTTTTGTTGATTTTCAATATTTTTCTGTCAGAACTAGACTGGAGACTGCTGCTAGGATACATGATCCAACAAGGATTGACCAAGTAGAAGAGGATAACAATTATGCTGTATTTGTATCCTATGTTGAAATCTACAACAATTATGTCTATGATCTATTGGAAGATAGTCCACTGGATAATTTTAATCAAAGGTATCTATACAACATCTCAAATTTTGAGCAGGACAGAGTACACACATTATCTGATAGAATCACAGAAGTCAACGTATTTTTTCACAGCAAATGGCTTCATGCTATTCTCAGATTTGTTTACTTTTGCACTGGCAATCTTATTTGAGTCATTAGTCTCATCTTTGCTCATTAAAATCTACATATTTGGTCATCAACTCATCACTATACATGTACTTTGGCGGATCCTGTTCTTCTGTGTACCATATTTACTCTATTATTAGTGCATGCACTTATATACATTACATGTTTGTTTTTATTGGGAGAAACAAGTCACATTTCAGTGATTCACTATACAACACATTGTTGGTGTGTGAAAAAGGAATTAACTACAAGAAACTTGACAAACCCGCCGCCCCCAGCAATCTGGTAATCTTTATCAGCATTATAGAAACTAGTGTCAGTCTAAAAGCACATCGTGTAAAATGATACTCATCTTTACTACTGTGTATGTACAAAGTATTGCTTTGTAACAGTTTTCACCATTAAGTTCTGGCAATATTGACTGTTGTGTTTTCAACTTTTTTTAATTTTTAGGTTTAGAACAGGCTTACAGGATTATGGTGATTACATGTATGTGTCTGAAGCATATACTATAGATTTAAAATTATATTTCTAACATTTATTCTTATCAACCATAGGCACTAACAGTAATAGCATAATGTCCCTATGTACTATATTCATCCTGTGTTACTATCGGTTCAGTCATTCTTTGAACGATTATGTTCAACTAAATATTGCTTCACTACAGCAAGTTATTATCAATATTGTCGGTAAATGTACAGCAATTGCTTCCAATGTTGTTGAAGTTGTTTTGCTACAATAAAGTTTGTTTTGATACATTTCTGACGCACCCAGACTTCTAGTCACCGTCATTGGACCCACAACGCATTCAACTCAGACC